CTCTCCTTATAAGGAGATCCATGATGAGGCATGTCTAGTTACTTACTGTATTAGGAAATTTTATTTTTCAAACATATTTTTATTGATTTCAGAGGAAGGGAGAGGGAGAGAGAGAAACATCAATGATGAGAAAGAATCATTGACTGGCTGCCTCCTGCACACCCCCTACTGGGGATTGAGCCTGCAACCCGGTCATGTGCCCGAATTAGAATCAAACCATGACCTCCTGGTCCATAGGTTGATGCTCAACTACTGAGCCACACCAGCTGGGCAGGAAACTTTCATACATGGAGGAAATCTCTTGTCTCCCATGACCCCCCCCCCCCCCGCATTGGTGCAACTCTGCCCTTGGTTTTCAAGGGATCTGTGGGGACTGACCCTCCCAAGATCAGCTCTGGTTCTAGCTTTGAAAATGGAGGCGGGTGTAAAAGGAACCATATAATTGTCAAGTGCTCAGCATTCTGGCTGTCAGTTGTTGCAGGGTGGGCTGCCCTCTCTACCTGCCCCACTGATCAGCTAACCCCTCAGGGTTCAGCCAGTTTGGGGAGGGGCTGCTTGACTCCTAGCCCAGGCTCCACGTCATCAATGGGGCCGATGTGTGGTGTGGGTGTGGCCAGGGCTGGCATCAGAGGGAGAAGCTTCACCCAGTGTGGGCACTGGATGAGCTGTGTTTTCTCTCAAAGGGAGGTTGGAAGTCTGAAATCAAGGTGTCAGCTGAGTTGGTTCCTTCTGAGACTGAGAGGGAGGATCCAAGCCAGGCCCCACTCCCAGCCTTAGTGTTGCTGTCAGTCCTTCCTGCCCCTTGATTGAGGATATCACCCAAGTTCTGCCTTCGTGTCCACATGGCCTTCTCCCTGTGTGCACGCCTTCGTGTCCAGACTTCCTCCCTCTTATGAAGATACACGTTGTGTTATATTAGGACTCACTAATCCAGCATGACCTCATCTTCACTAATTCCATCTGCCATGACTCTACTTCTGAGTGAGATCACATTCTGAGGTCCTGGCAGTCAGGACAGCAACAGATGAATTGGGGGCTAGGGAAGCGTTTCAACCCTATCAGGAACTGAATGCCGAGGCTCTATATATCTAGAAAGGGGTAAACACACATTTCACCAACTAGAAAAGAAAAACGAAGAGTCCCAGGAGAGACTGGGCCAAGAGAATTGGGAGCCATTTCAGCACCAGGGACAGCGACACGCGATTGGGTTATTCCTTCCTCCTGCAGCAAGACTCAGAGGCTGGAGACATGGAAGGTTGCTCTGGTCCCTCCCTTCCAGGGTGAGACCACTGCATGTTCTGCAGGCGGGGCTCCACAGGCAAGGAAGGCCCCAAGGAGGAAGAGTGCTGCCCCTAATTTTGCATCCGTTGCAGCCTGATTTCTTGCCAGCCATGCCTAATTTCTCTCAGGTTTTAGGGCTAGCTATAATATTTTGTTGTTACTCCCCAACCGAGAATACTTTTTCCCACTGCTTTTTAGAGAGGATGGGAGGGAGGGGGGAAAGAGGAGGGAGAGAGAAAGAAAAAGATGTGAGGGAGACGTATCACTTGGTTGCTTGCCACACGTGCCCTGACGATGGCTGGGGATTGAATCTGCAACCCAGATACGTGCCCTTGACCAGGAATTGAACCCGTGACCCCTCAGTGAGCAGGCTGATGCTCTGACAACTAGGCAGTACCAGCCAGGACAGGGCTAGGTATTTTAACTCCTATCATCTCCCTGAAGACATTTGGGGATTAAATTCAAAATATAGAAACACACACAGAGGGGGGGAAAATAACAGAAAGATAGATTATGTACTGAGAGATGTTTGCATCACACAGAAACAAAACCAGATAAACACACAATATATATAAGGAACCTCTAAAAAACAACAAGTTGCCTAGGGTCATTAATCCAGGAATGTACATTAAAATCTCAATGAAATATAGTGGCACACTCACCACTAACACCTAAAAGGCTGGAAAACCCGAGTTAATGAGAAAGAAGCACTAATAAGATTTAAAGACCCCTTTGGTGGGAGTATATGTGGGTGCAACCACTTTGGAAAACTGTTTGAAATAATCTATTAAAGCTAAACATATACCAACCTTATAACCAGCAATCCCATTCCTGGATCTGCCTTTGTGCATCAAAAAATACATATGTGAGAATGATCCATGACAGCTTTATTCACGATAGCCCCAAACAGTGAACAGCCTAAGTGCCATCCACCCACAGGACAATGGATAACCATTTGTGACATATTAATAGGATAAAATATTGCACAGAAATAGAAAGGAATTGATCCCCGAGACACACAGCATCCACAGCTGAGCGGAAGAAACCAGACACAAAAGTGGACATGCACTGTGATTTCATTTACATACATTCAACATGGGAAGCCCTCAACTACAATGATGAGCGACGCATGAGGTGTGGGAAACCACAATGAAAGCATGATCTGGTTATCACAAGGGCCAGGGTCGCAGCCACTTCTTGGAAGATTGTCATAGGGTGAGTTGAACGTGGGGCTTCTGGTGGCTTCCATGTTCTATTTCTGGGTCTGTGAGATGACCACATGACTTCATAATTATTTAATTGCACCCTTACAGATGCTGCCCTTTGTGGGGGAGGAGGTTTGTAATGTATACCAATTACAATTTTTTACGGTGGTAAAATTTACCATTTGACAGTGTATACCTCAGTGGCATCACCCACATTCACGTTGTTGTGCACCCATCACCACCATCCATCTCCAGGACTCTTTTCATCTTGCAAAACTGAAACTCTTGTACCCGGTTTCCCCCACCCCCAGCAAAACTGCATTTAATACTAATGCTTCATCCCCATTACACACTAATTCTCCATCCTCACCCACAACCCCTGGCATGCACCATCTACTTCATGTCTCTATGGATGTGACTCCTCATAAAATGAAATCATACGCTCACTGAGCACAAGGTCCCTAGGTTCATCATGTTGTAGCATGGCTCAGAAGTTCTTTCTTTTGTAAGGCCGAATAATATTCTGTTGTACATATAGGGTATTCCAAAAGTGTGTACACATACTTTGAATAATTATAAAGGCAGTGCTTATTAAAATACATTGCATTTTCAACATTGAGCTATTAGCTGTTAAAGGGTATATATATTTTTTGGGGGGACACCTGTATATCCCACATTTTGTTTATCCATTCATCTGTTGATATCTGGGTGCTTCTACCTTTTGGCTATTGTGAATAATACTGCTGTGAGCATGTGTGTACAAATATCTCTTTTGAGTCCCTGCTTTCAATTCTTTTGGGTATGTACCCAGAATTGCTGGATCATATGGTAGTTCTACATTTAACTTTTTTGAGGCCCTGCCAAACTGTTCCCACAGCGGCTGTACCATTTTACATTTACAAATGTTTCTTAAAATGCTAGCGCCTGTCTTCAGCTCTGCCTGGTGCCCTCTCCCCAGAGCTCCAAGAGATGTCTCAGGCTTGGGGCAGACACTCCTCCCCACCACCCAGCCCAGCTGGTGGGAGCAGCCACTGTGGTCAGCATCGCCTGGCAGACACAGCTTTAATTAGCTCCTGCCTGGAGCAGAAGTGGGCACCCAGAGCTGTTGCCGAGAGCTCTGCATGGGCAGTCAGGAGTGAAGGGAAGCAGAGAGACAGGGACCATGAGGGGAAAAGCTGGGGCTGGGGGACACAGGGTCCAACGATGGTCTCATTTCACAGGCAGTGAAAACAAGGACCACAGAAGCGAGGCAACGCCCAGCTCTGGGCCCAGACATCGGAGTCCATCCCAGGGGTCTTTCACCTGCCTGCAACCCACACCCCGTCTTCTGCAAACATCTTTCAAAATATCTTTGATCTCATTGGTCTTTCTCTGGGCATTTCTTTCTCCTTGCTTCTCTTTGTCTCTGGCTCTGGCTCAATGTTTCTTGCTCTGTGACTCTCAACACCTGGCAGCCCCGCCCCAACCCAGGATGTTGCCCAATCACACGCTGGCTTTGGGCACCTTCAGGGCCTCTCCTGATTGGCTCTGCTCTTTGCCGCTGAACCACACACCCTCTGGAGCTTGGGCCCCCTTGGTGGGTCCATCAGAAGGCACTCTCGGACCATTCTCTTTGGGAGAAACTGAGGCAAAGACTGGGCAGGCCCCATCCAAGACCACAGTGCTGGGGCCTCTCCCCATCGTCCTCTCCCTACAGGCCAGCAGCTCTGCCCACTCCCTGACCCCGCTTGGCCAGCCGCTGTCCTAAGAGGCTCTTCATCGTGTCAGCCACGGACTCCGTTAGCATCTGGGTCTCCTCTCTTCCCTTCCCTGCTTCACTCTTTGGGAAGTGGAGGGGGCTGAACCACTGCTCCTGCATCCTCCCTCCCTCCACCACTCCCTCTCTGCCCCCAGCAAAAGGTGACTTCGGTTCGGGGACCTCTTTATTAACTTTTAATTGTAGTAAAATACACAATATAAAATCTACCATTTTAACGTGTTTTTCTCCTTTCCCCCCAGTTGTTTTACTGTAGTAAAATACACATCATGTTAAATTCACCATCTTAACCATTGTTAAGTGTGCAGTTCAGTGGCATGAAGTGCATCCACATTGCTGTACAACGATCACCACCATCCTCCTCTCGGCCTTCTCATCTTTCCAAATTGAAACTCTGTCCCCACTAAACATGAACTCTTTATCCACCTCCCCCAGCCCCTGACAAGGTCTACTGTCTGTCTATATGGAGTGGACTCCCTGGGGACTTCTTATAGGGAGAACTCTACAACATTTGCCCGTTTGTGCCTGGCTTACTTCACTGAGCAAAATGTCCTCAAGGTCCATCCGTGTCATTATTTACCTTTTTAAAAGAATGAATACTATCCCACTATGTGGATGGCTCACCCTGTTTGTCCATTTATCCATCCATGGACACTTGGGTGGTTTCTGCCTGTTGGCTGCTGTGAACTATGCTGCTGTGAATGAGCAATGGGTGTACAGCATCCTTTCCTCCTAACACTCCCTCCTCTCCCCTCCAGGCTGTGCCTTCCTCACTTACTGTGCCAGGGACTCTGCCATCAAAGCTCAGACTGCTCTGCACGAACAGAAGACCTTGCCCGGGGTGAGTCTGGATGCTGTCTGGGGCGGGGGGAGCACGGAAGGGTGGCTCTCAGCCTGGGGAAGGCCAAGGCCCTTCTTGGGATCAGCAGTGTTTTGACTCAGAAAGAGGTATAAGATTCAGAGGGTCAGAAATGATCACCGGAGTGAGCATTTATTGAGTGCCTACTGCATATTGGGCCCAAGTATCACACCAGAGTGGTGATGTGTGGTGGGTCATGCAGGTGGCACTGGTTGAGGGTGTGAGTGTAGTTGGCCTGAGACCTGAAGATGAGGAAGCATTAGCAGGCAGCGGGAGCAGCATGTGCCAAGGCCCTGAGTCAGGACTGTGCCTCGTGTGTTAAAGGGACATCGAAGCAAATAGAGCTTCAGCCCCATGATTCGGGGGTTGCTTGGGCAGGATTTCCATCCCAAAGGGAGGTGGGCCCAGGCTCTGTACCTGCCAGGTCTCTCTCTCAGCCCTGTCCCCTTTGGGTGGGCAGAGGTCCCCTGAGCCAGGTGAGCCTGGACTCCAGGCAGCACCTCCTGACGGAAAGTGAAGAAACCACAGTGAGATTCGTGGCTCTGGGGGTGGGCCTTGCCATTCTCTCTGGAATTCTCAGAGACCCTTCAGCATCAGAAGCATTCAGGAACTGCTTGGGGCACCTGTATCCATCAACGCTGGGATCAGGAAGTCCGGGGTGTGCCAGCCCCATGGGTTGCAGATAAACCAGGTGGTGAGGGAAGGCCTCTCTGAGGAGGCAACCTGATGACCTGAGGGAGGGAGGGGCCTGTCTGCCATCCATGGTAGGGACACAGCCAGTACAGAGGCCTCGAGGCTGGACCAAACTCGGTGCCTTTGAGGAGCATCGAGAAGACGAGCAGAGTGAGCCATGGAGTGAGGCGGAGGGTGGAAGGGGGACGGGGAAGACGAAGGGACGGGACTCCGTGAGGAGTTTGGGTTTCATTCCAAGGGAAGCTGGGGCCATGGGAGGGTGGCAAGCAGGGGAATGACCTGGTTTGATTTCAATTTTCAAAACCCTCCTTCCAACTACTGGAATCCTGGGGCTGCTTAACAACGCACCACAAGCCATGACGCTTGAAGCAGCGAAAATATATTGTCTCACAGTTCTGTGGGCCAGAAATCGGAAATCAAGGTGACAGCAGGCTGCCCTCCCTCTGGGAGAATCCTTTCTATGACTCTCCGGCTTCTGCTGGCTGCCAGAAGCTCCTTGGCTTGTAGACTCATTACTCCAGTCATTCCTGCCCCCATCCCAGGGCCTTCTCCTCTGTGTCTCCATCTCTCCGATGTCCCCTGCCTTTCTCTCATAAGGACACCTGTCATCAGATTTAGGGCTTACCATTCATCCAGGATGAACTCATCTCCAGAGCTGTTATTTAATTCCATTCATCAAGACCCCTTTTCCAAATAAGGTCTCATTTTATTATGATTATTTTTTGTTAAAAAACACTTTTATTGATTTCAGAGAGCAAGGGAGAGGGAGAGATAGATAGAAAATCAGTGATCGAGCCCACAACCCGGGCATGTGCCCTTGACCAGAATAGATCCCAGGACCCTTCAGTCCATAGGTCGATGCTCTCTTCGGCTAGGGCCAAATAAGGTCTCATTTTATTCCCAGGTTCTGGAGGTTAGGATTTGGGTATATTTTAGGAGGACCATCATTCAACCGCTAGAGAAGGTTGGCACAAAATAAAGGTCCAGATGCAGGGGCGACTTGTGGCAGCGTCACCAGGGAGAAACAGCTGGCCTGCATGGCAGACTCCGTAGAGATCAACAGGATGGCTTCTTGGAGGAGGGAGCTTAGAGCTGGGTTTTGAGAAATGGGGAGGATTGTGGCAGATGGAGATGAAGATGGGGGTGGCGTGAGGACAGAGTGTACCAAGACTCGGAGGCAGGGACGTGCCTGGTGTGTTGTTGAGAACACACGAGAGCCTCTGTTGTCTAACGGAAGAGTTTACATTAAGTTAGGAGGAGTTTTCCACCCAAGGCGATTCTGCTCCCAAGGGACACTGGGCAATGTCTGGGGACATTTGTCATTGTCGAGACTGGGAGATGCTGTGGGTAGCATCTGTAGGATGCTGCTCAACACCCTGCAGGGCACAAGACGGCCCACAACAAGGAATTATGTACCCCAAGTCAATAGTGCCCAGGCGGATGATAAATCCTGGTTAGGAAGAAGAGCTGGTGAGCAGTGCTAATTGAAATATAACGCAAGCCACACGCAGCATTTAAAATTTCCAGTAGCGACCTTTAAAAAGGAAAAGGAGACAGGTAAAATGAATTTTAATGCTATATTTCATTTTCACCCGACATCTCTAAAAAATCTTATTATTTCAACAGCAGTCAGTATAGTTTATTAATTATTATTAAACAAATTTTAAAACCCCATTCCCGAGTCACACAAGCCTCATTTCAAGGGCTTCGTAGCCACATGTGGCTGGTGGCTCTTTTATTGGACAGTATGATTCTAAAATGTTCTAAGCCCGGGGTCACCTCAGATAACATGTAAATGAATGGGTGTGGCTGTGTGCTAATAAAACTTTATTTACAAAAACAGGCAGGGGGCTCAGGAGAAGGCTGTAATTCGCCATTCTAGAGGTGTGCTGTCCAATAGAACTCTCTCCCATGATGGACATGTCCTGTCTGTGCTGTATGGTGGCCACTAGGGCCATGTGGCTATTGAGCCTTGAAAAAATGTGACAAATATGACCCAGGAACTGGATTTTTATTGTTATTTAATTTTAATAAATGTAAACTTTAACTGAAGTGACTACATGTGGCTGGTGGTTACCACATTGGACAGATCAAATCTAGAATGTTCTATATTAGAGGTTGGCTACTGTGTTAGCACAGACACAGAATGTTCTAAACTAGGGCCAGCTACTGTATTGGAGGGTGCAGACCTAGAATGTTCTAGACTAGGAGCCCACTAGCCTACTGAACAGTGCGGTCCTAGAGTATCCTAGGCCAGGAGTCAGCTACCATATTGGATAGCACAGACCCAGAATGTTCTAGACCCAGGAACACAATGCAGTGTTATTACATATCTAGATTGCAGGGATCGAGGTCTCTCTTTGATGTCAGCTCACTGGGGACAGGGGAGCAGTTCCAGGCAGTACCCTCTCTTCTCGGGGTCAGTTTCCTCAGCCTCCACATGGAGCCTGGGGGGGTGAATGATCACTGTCGCCCAGCACTGTTGGACCCTCATCGGAAGGCCATGTCCACCAGGAGGGCTGACAGAGAGGAGAGGGTGGGTAAGAGGGATTCATGGAAGGTCACCCAGCAGGGTGAGAGGCTGCAGCTGTATCTCCCCCTCCACAGGCCTTGACCCTCTGGCTTTTCTGGTTCAGTTTCCTGCAAGCTGGTTTCTATCCTCTGGGGGGCAAGGAGGGGGGGGGGGAGGTGGTGAAGGCTGATGTTTGATAAATAAGGGGTGTGTGGCTCAGAGTAGGACCCTGAGGATGCAGGGACCCACTGGGGACCACCACCAGGCCTGCGAAGCATCCTCCAGGAGTACAGCATGATTTTTAAAGATTATTTCTTAAAGTTTGCAAAATACCACACACTTAGAGAAAAGTACACGCAACACCAACGATGATAAAGCAGGCGCCTCCGTTGTCACTACAAGCAGCACCCCAGGAATCCCCACCCCACGTCTCAAGCCCAGCCTCTGTCTTCCTGTTGGAGGGGCCAGTCCTCTGGCCTTCCTGGTTCCCAGCCCCTGCTTTTCTCCATGGTCTCAGCACTTATCGGAACGCTGCTAAATATTATGAATAGCTGGCTGCTGCCCGTTTTTCTTTTAACCCAATATGAATGGAATCATGTTATATGTAAAGCGATCTGCATTTTTCTTCTTAGGGTGATGCTAATGAGAGTCAGCATCGCCCGGTTCTGTAAGGGGCACTTTTTCATTGCCGTGTAGCACTCCATGACATGAACACACAATGTATTTGTTCACCCCCCCCCCCCTGTTGGTGGACATTTGGGTTGTTTCTTGTTTTTGCTGTTCGAAATACAGACCCTTTTCCATGTTTTGATTCTGGTGTACACATGCCCACCAGGCTCATACCCGGAAGTTCTGGTCCCTTCCTGAGTGTGTGTACCTTAGGCTTCTGATTAGCTAAGGGGTTGACTTTCCGGGTAAGTCATTCTCCCCTGAGGACACCCACGGATGTGGGGCCGGCCATTCAGAACCAGATCTGGAGGCTCCTTTGCAGACTGCACAGTGGAAGGGGCCTGCTGGGGCAGAAGGCCCCGCTCACCTGTCAGCTGCATCTGGACACCGAAGTCTGAGCCCCCTCATCGCAGGGGGTCTCCACCAAAAGATGGAGCCTCATGAGGCTCACCTCGTGCTGGGAAACCCACCCGCCGGCTCCTGTGCCCGCACTCGCTTGCACGCACAGCAGGGAGTGAGGGGCCAGAGCTGAATCACTCTAGAAATGAAGACAGCCACCATCGCTCCTCTCCCCTGCACTGCCCCCTCCACCCCCGCCCCGAAAATCCCCGTGTGCGTGTGTGAGCTGGGGAAGGCATTGTACAGTGGACACTTGTCTTTTTATCTCTTGAAAAAAGTGAGAGATGCAGCTGCAGGCCTCTCACCCTGCCGGGGGACCTGCATGAGTGCCATCTCCCCTCTGTCAGACCAGGAAGGGAGCGAGCCGGCGCCCCCACCATGAGGCAGCCGGGCTCCTGCCCCCCCAGTGCCTCTCTCTGACGTAAGAATGATCCCCCTTTCCAGGCCTTCCTCGTGCCAGGAGGGTCCATGGGGGACACAGCTTAATCAAACCTCAGTGTTCTGGAATGGGATCCTAAATTGGATACAACAGAATCCCAGAACAGAGCCCGAATGGACCCAGGACCCGGAATCCAGGCTGCGCAAGTGCCTCAGAGCCCAGCACAGGATCTCAGCGGGGCTGTCGAACCCCAGGCTGGGGCTCCTGGCGGTGGAATGGGTCCCCCGGGGCAGCGGAGACCAGTGTGGCCAGCTGCTGTCGCTAAGACTT